GCCGTCTCCACCGTTGTCCCCGTCGTCGTACGGCGGCGGCGGCGGCGACGACGACGACGACAACGAAAAATACTCTCGGCTTGGTGGCGGCGCACTGAGAGGACCACACAACGCGGTCGTTGGTCGATCACAACAACGGCGGCGGCGTTGGCTCGCCGTACATCGCTATTATTTAAAAAGCGTGTACGCAACGCGATCGAATCACATCTCCTTAACAAGGGCAGTTGGGTGGACAGGAGGCGCACAAGGAGAAAGGGTGAAAAAATGCGTCCCGGTTTAAAAAAATTCAAACACTAATAAAAATTAACGAGCCACGATAAATGTAATCGTAACGCGTCGCCGAGCTGAATTGATTGCACGGGAAAACGTGTGTCGTGCCTTTAAATCAGTGTTGGCCGCGGTGTGCGACAAGCTCATAATAAAGGTACTTAACACGAAAACGATGATCGCCGGACATAACGACCCATTATGATAATATTAAAAAACTGACGCCCGGCATTCTTTTTACATCGCGGTATAATATCAGTCGCGCCAACACGTGATTTACACTCAATATGCATACGAATACCATTATCAACGTACGGTAGGTACTTTATTGGCCGTACAGAACGTCAAAGTCGCGCGATCAATGGGCTGTAAACGATAATAGAATTTCCAAACGTGTAATGGTCATAATTGTCTACGATAATCGTGTAAAGTGTCGTTGAGAATTAACCACGTTCATCGTCAAGCCGATCGTCGCATTATTCATTTCGACGGAATAAAAAATAGCTTCGGGCTTGGGATTTCACACGGTTTCGAGTTTCGTTTGTAATTTCGGATACGAAATGTAACCGAGCGAGGTGAAATAATAACGCAAAACGAACCAGATAATTCGAGACAATGTCGTGTCAAAAACCCAACATTGTTTTGCAAAGTCATTAGCGATGTGCTCGCGTGACCATCGCTGTGGTGGGGGGGGGGTGTTGGTAATAACGGTTATTGCTCTAACCTCAACCATGTGTACAGAGTGTTCAAAGGCATGGCGCTGGTTTTTTCACATTATAAAAATTACATAATTTTACACTTTTCTTGGATACAAAGACAAATACTGTGCAAACCACGACGCGAGTCTCACGTTCGGACTTTTGTCTTCACAGAAATATTCCCAGTGTTTACCAAACAAGTGTGTATTCAAAAGTTTTCGACAATTCTTTCGATCGTAATTCGTAGCGTTTTTAAACGCAGCTTAAAAACAACAACAACATTGTCTTAAGCGTTAAACACTTGAATAAGTATTTTTTATCTTCGTGACGTAAAATTTGTGTTATCTCCTCGGAAATTATATACTCGCTCGACAAGACCCCCCCAAAACTCCGTAATTATTCGAATTCGTTGAAAATTTGCAAAACGGTTTTCTTGATCCAAACGATCAATTAGTAATTACAATTTTATCCGTCCGCCAGTACACTTTGACAATCGCATTACTCGGTCCAATAATAGTGTCAAAACAGTGTGTGTCACACCACGAGGTACCAACACAAAGGTCAATTTCGACGCGTCGAACGTGTCACGCACAATGCGCATTTATGTATTATTTTTAGCACGCATCGATATAATAGTACGAATCCGTTACGTTTATACAAACACCGGTGGTCTCACAAATAAAAAACGGGCGTCTACAACGATAATTAACGACCGCCGTGTGCGGTTGATGAATTTGTCCGTTTGGAAATCTCCGTGTACAGTTAACCCGAGATCCGTCAACAGCTGTAACGTCGTGCCCACGACACCTTTACGGGCCTACCGTCCAAAGACTACGCGTGTTTTTTTTTATGCGTCCGGTTCACGAACGTCTCGGCGGCAGCCGATCTACGTGCAATTCGCGTGTGAATATTAACACTGCGGGCGTTTCCGCTCCGGTGGGGCGACTCGTGGGCGTCGATTGTGTCGGTTTTTTAAAATCTCGCGATAATAATAAAACTGGTGGCACCAGTCTCTCGACGGTCAATAAAAAACGATGTAAAACAAAGCGTCTGCTGGATTACGATGCCGCGACCGGCGGGTGTACCTACCGCGCGTTACCCGTCGTTTTGGGTTTTGCAGTGCAGTCAATAAAAAACGTTCGGCAAATCGTTTTCTGTCGCGTTTAAATATATGTAAGCTCGTAAACTTAGTGTCGACGCCATGTAAACGGAAGCTTGACACGTCTCATCAACACATCTTCTTACGGCCGACGTTCACAGTTTGTGGCCGCCGGCTAATGTCGCAACAGTACGTGTCGATAAAAAAGTGTGATGAGTACGCCAAAACTAATTGACTACACAATTGGTCCGAGTGACAAAGAGCTTGGGCAGCTCGACGCAACCGCTGCACGAAACCGCAACGTTTCCGAACATGGAAAAAGTCTACATTTATTTTTTTTGTGTATTTTTCGCATCCGGTTTGGCTGTGTTTAATAAAATAAAACGGGCACACGGTGTGGCGCGAATAAAGAGGTGATATATTGGCACACGCCCCTTTGGTCTGTCTAACGGGGCCACCCGCACGAGCTTAACGACTGGCACACACGACAAATTTACACGGTCACTTGTGCGACGAGGGTGTGTTATACTACCGTGCCGCGCGGTACCGCTCCGTTTATTCGACTCGTTATCACCTGCTTATCCACGCGTCTTTCTGGTGGCGGCGACAGGCGAGCGGATAAAACAGCCGGACAATTTTCAGCGAAATTCTGTAACGATCAAACCGTGTATTGCTTTTGTTGTAAATTCTTATTGCCGGGTTCCGTCGGGCGCGGACAGGCGCACATTCGGAATTGCCCCCGACCATAAATTTAAATAACAGAGTGTGTGAGTAAACACCGAGTAAAAGTAATTTCGAGTACAACTCGAAATTCAGTCAACAAAGATTCGGATTTTGTGTGCGCACTTGTCTGGACGATTGTTAACGACGTCGAGTGGACGGCCACGATGGTGGCGCACACTAAACGTACTCGAACGTTTAGTGTTTGTTTTGGCGTCACCGCCTCTGACCGTCCGATTAATACTTGTATATGGCCACTACTATTACCATTATAACAGCCCGGAGCGTCGTTGCAGTTCTTCTTGAATTCTCTGTCCGGTACGTGTAGTAATATCGGGGCGCGACCCGAACCGCGCCCGCCGTCTTGCGGTGGCGCACAATTGTCGGTGGCTTTGTAACATGCAAATTCGTACGTTCGGATACATATGAACGGGCGCGGTCACGAACACACTTCATCGTTTAGAGGATTTCAAATGAACACCAGTTAACGAGTTAAAACGCGATAAATGAAATGGTGGTATCGTTAGATCAGCTCAAGTTATCGGTCACTGTCAACTCGGTCCGATCACCACTACGATTGTGTTGGTTATTATTTTTACTACCAATACAAGACGGTAGTGGTCGACCAGTACCGTCACCCGTAAAGACGTTAATGATGCGCGATAAACCCGTCCCGGCGTGTTATCGTGTACCCATCTGAGGGTTTACAGTGGCCACCGTCTCCATTTTTGGGATAACTAAAAGCCCATCTGGTACGAGTCCACGGACCACAACACTGACCGGGTGTCGTTTTTTAGTTGCACCGCCGATTTTTTTCCGGTAAAGAAACATTATTCTCGAGCGTACACGCATTACTATTATCATTATGCGTACGTACAAGGCGATTGGGTTAATGCGTGTGTTTTGATATCATGAATGACCGCCGATCGGCAGGTAAGTCTCGTTCGGGTAATGGAATGAACCAAAACCAATATTGCGTTTGGGTGGTCTGACAATCACTCGTGTAGCGGCCAGCACTGCGACTCTACTCGGCGACCAACGTGTAACACTCGCGTTCACGTACACACGCTGTGGACGTGGCCGCCGCCTTACCAATACATTTGAGTTTGGATTTCGTAACGGTGTGACGGGACGCACGGCAACCAACGGATCACGTGGCCGTTTAGCTTCGAAGCCAAGTGTGAGAAACTCTACCGGGCCGAGTGTCCTTAAGCTGTAACGTTTTCGTCCGATTCGGTGCGACATTTTTTTATCGACCGTCGTCGTCAGCTGTATGAAACCATACCGAACTGTCNGTGTGAGAAACTCTACCGGGCCGAGTGTCCTTAAGCTGTAACGTTTTCGTCCGATTCGGTGCGACATTTTTTTATCGACCGTCTTCGTCAGCTGTATGAAACCATACCGAACTGTCTACTGATCAGGAGGCGTTTAAAAACAAACGGACAGGTATCCGATCATTATCATCCCGCATATGGCCGGGGAATGCGTTTCGGCCGTTGAAATATTATTTTCTCAAATAATGCGTTGTGAATGTCCTCGTCGTTGAATCGGTGTGGCCCTAACAAGATCACGGTACGCGTACACCCAATCTTATAATAATAATAATAGTAGTAGTACGCACAACACCGTGTCCTTTCTATTCGTTCCGCACAGACTTTGTGTTGGAAACAACTCGTTTGTCATAATAACAATAACGAAAATAATAATAACGTCACGTTATTATTATTGTTATTACTATAATCGTCAACTTGATGGGATATTCGATTTTCGGTTAATCCGATAAAATAACAATATTATGTACATAAAAGCGACAGTTTATGTGTCGTATAATTGAACGTCGGTCGGGGGACGCCGTAAGAGTGTCATCGTGTCTATCGTCCGGACGGCCGCAAGAGTCACAGAGAATCATATGATGTTAGGGACAACGCACGCGATACACCCGCACGGTGGAAAAACCGTTTTCATTTGACAATTATTTTTTTTTTTTAATGTTCATCGTTTAGATGAAATTTCAAAACGCAATTCCGGATCGTCCCAAAATGTCGATAAAGCTTTTGTGCACAAATCGCTTTTATTTGAGTCGTTTCACTTACTCGTATTAAACACGCATTTGAATTATTTTTTAATCAATTATTTATGAACAAACAAATCGTATCGCTTAACCCAAATAAGAGCGATTCGTACACCGGAAATATCGAAACTTGTATTTGACTCACCTGACGACGGCCGGTCCGAATATCTGGTGCAGTACACCCAAGCGGGCCACGGTTGAGCGGCAGACGTTTCCCTGTCCGGTGGTAATCCGGTGACGGAGGTGTCCGCGGTGGTGAGATCGGAACGGGATAGGTCGATGGGCGAACTCGGAGATTCCGAGACGCCGGCGGTCGACGTTGACGAAGCGGACGACGACGAAGATCGCCTAGACTTCTCGGCGGCGCCGGTCCGATCGGGTTGGCGAGGGTGTTGCGGTTGATGAAGGAGGCGTTGATGTGGTGGCGACGGCGACGGTGCCGGTTCGGCGATGGTGTTGCGAGCGCCACCGAATTCGGGACGCAGTATATTGTCGATGCTGAATTTCAACGGTCGCTCGACGGACGCGTGGGACGGTGTTGGACGAACCATGGACGTGACCGTCGCAGTACCACCACCGCAGTCTTCCGCGGCCGCTTTCATTTCGCTCAGCAGTTTCAGCTGTTGCTGGTGTCTGTGGAAGTTGAACATGACCGCCGCAGCGGCCCCGGGTATTATGCCGGCACCCTGGTAAAGGCCGCAGTTCATCGTGGACACGAGCCGCCTGTAAACGAACGCTTCTTGTGATGTACTCAGTCGTTGTAGGTGGTCGTCGCGGGCTGTTGCGTTTTTTTATTTACTGGACGTTTTTATCGCCTCGGGACGCGCGTGCGACCGCAACGGTTATGACGATCATCTGAACCTCAAGACATCACGTGCAAATTTATCTGTTAAAACACATAAAACATTTTTCGGTCAATAAATCAATACGACACATGTTGTACTATAGGAAAAATACACATGGGATACGATTTAATAATAATTAAAATTACAAACATACGTATAAATCTTCAAACAAAACTGCAATAAATTTTCAAACGCCAATAAAAGCATTTTTGGACATTAAAAGTCCATAAATTGAATCAATCAAATTACAAAATTAAACTCCAGTGATTAAACTAAACGTCAGTGACCAATTTAATCACTGAGAAATCACACAGTTATGTGTTATGTAAATTCTATGTAGTTCCACAGAGCTTCTTTAAAAGATATTAAAGTCCATGGACGTTGTAGAGGTGCTAATAAAAAACAGCGTATAAAAATTAATAACCTGATTAATGCAAATCCGCCCTTATGGCGCTTTCTTACGTCGTTCGAGTTAGACTAGTCTAGTGCGCTGCACCGAATAATCGCTTAAAAAATATATTGTGCACTCCGTAACGGTTAGTCGACTGCTGTGAATACCACTCGATAATTATTAAATTTTTATTATGGTTAGTATTTCCGGATCGAGTTACGCTGTTAATTAATTTTTTTTTCTTCTATTCCGCGGCTGTTTGGGTGTTCAAGGCAAACGAAAAAATTGATCCTTTTAATGTTTGCTAGACAGTTAAACAACTTAATCCTCAAATTTATGCTCCTGTACTCCACAAAACAAATAAAAATTATAGTAGCGCTACTAATGGATACTCGCTTTCCCATGACCAATGTGAAATCATTTTTTTTTTTCCACAAAAACGAATCTAAAAACAATATTTACTATAGTTAAGATAACGAAGTACTTGATTTTTTCAATCAAATCTATGTTTAGGTTAATTAAACCATTGCTAAATTATTGTAACGTAAATTATTCATAGTTACGATCACTGTGCCAATAATTTTTTCAGTTTAGAGGAACTCATTTAGTAATTGAATATTTAACGGTTGATTGAACTTCAAACTTAATAGGTTTGTATTAATACGAATTAATTTCTAATAATTGGATACAAAATCAATAATTTCGTTTACTTTTTTAACTTTTAGTGATATCAAATTAAAACTAACCTATTGGATTGAATTAGTTAAAATAGAATTTCAATTGACAATTCATTAAGAAGTTGTTATTTAACCAAAGTAAGGTGATTCATACGTTTCCCACTGAAAAATTATCATTAATCTATTCCATCATTACCATTTTGTGGAGACTAATAGGACCCTATTTTACTAAATCTCTGGCTGAATCTAAAAATAAATAATGAGTCTCATAATCTAAATTTTCATTTTACTCGTTAGAACTTAAATCTATTATTTAAATAGTTGTATAAAACTTTTAAAGTAAAGTTTATTCCTCATTATTTTCTTCTAAGTAAATTAATGTTTATCAAAAAGCACAAAGAAGACATACATAGTGTTTGTTAAAAATCGATAATTATTAATAAAAACTTTGAGGAATTTCATTTGACCCGTTCGCTTATTTTTAATAAGGTCAATACATTGAAGTGTAAAACCCCTAGGTGAAATACAGTTAAAACTTTTCGACCCTAAATGCCTGTCGGCGGATTATAGATGATATTAATTAATAGCCTCCGAAATGATTCTATTGCAATAATAGTTAATCAGTTTCTCGATACCAACGGTCGTCCACAAATAATTCACCTGTTAGCATCGTGCAGTTTCTTTAAGTGTTACAAATATGTGTTAATTACTGGTGGATTAAAATAATTGAACAAAATAACGTCATTATTAATAAATGATTGAAATAATATTACACAAATAAGGACAACATGTGTTCTCAAGACGACATAATAAACCAATGTCAGTTTATACTGTATACGGACATACAGTCTTCATACTAAAATAAAAAACAAAAAAATAGTAAAAAATATTAATAGTAGTCTATGCATAGACTGTTATTATTATTTATTTTTCACTGAAATTTAATTAAAACTATTAAATATGATTAAAAATCATGTTGTTTTGAATAGATATCCAGTAGATTTTAATAAAACATATGATGACAGATGTAATAATTCCATTTTAAAGAAGAATCAGTTGAAAAAATATAATTATACATGACATGGTACAAATATTTTTCAAAACGTTTTGGTGACGTCGATTCTGATACCACAATTACAATTTTTACTATACGAATTAAAATCTAACTCAACATCGATAAAAATGGAAACAGAGTACCACATCTTTTAACTAAAATGTGTAATGTAGTTATAATATATCGAATCGAATTTTAATACATAAAAAATTAAAATATATTATTGCTTAATAAGGTCTATATATAATATATTCTATAAAAAAAATTTTGAAAAACCACACTATATAAATAAAATATTTTAATTAGCTCTGTTATTCTTATAGTACGAGGAACGTCCAAAAAGATTACAACTCGGGTTGGGAACCGACGATAAATGAATATGTTTTAATTAAATTTACAAGATGTATATAAACACATGTAATTAATTTTTCTGCATAATTTCCATGGAGTTCCAAGCATTTTTGAGGCCTGGGCACTACATTTTCTATACTCTCGTGGTATACCTTTTACTCAAACTGTTTTAGCCATGTTTTCGTAGCTTCTGTGGCCTCTTCGTCGCGTATAATCTTCTGTCCGATAATAAACTCTTTAAATTAGATGAAAATATAATAATCTGGTGGTTTTAAGTCCGGGGAGTAGGGCGGGTGAGTCACAATATCATATTGAAATGACATTCTAACCTTACTTTCCGGACGTCCTGTTTGTAAACATACTGTCCACGTGTGTATAAAGATAATTTTGAAATCAATGTGATGTCTGATTTTATTCTCAGCAAATAACAGCACATTATTATAGTTGTGTGATTTTGAGCAGACTTAGAAACAAATAATCATAATCCAAAAGCTATGTAACGTCACTTCTTGAAAATATATGTGAATATATTAAATGTACAAAAACTAAAAATCTAGTAGAGGTATTTCACAGATTGTGTTGAAAAAAATTCTTAGAACTATTAATCTTCATCGAAGGTAAGTAATCTGATGTAATCTGTACAAATAAAACACAAAACTGACGATTTTTCCAACTTGTTGTGATATTGTAGCAAAAGAACAGTTCGGATCATTGTTAAGACACATATTTTCTTCTAGCCAATGTTCTCTTTACTAAGTAATTGACACAATTAGTTCAGAATTTGTGATACGCAATGTATAAACAAATACTATACTATGTGTTTAAACGATATTTAATCGATGCAAAAGTTAACGCTACAAATCAATTAATTTTTTTAGGGTCGTAGATTTTTATTTGTAATTTTGTATCATTTTTTTTATGCCATGTTTATATTGCACGAAAACGAAAATCCATATCCCTTTTAGAAGCTAATCCGTTATGACTGCAGACTTGGAGGGCTTTCTTGCTCAGTCGGTACCTCATTGCGTGCCGAAGTTGGAATCCGTTGGGCTGAGTTATGTGGACTTCCCTCGCTCTCTGTCACAATCAATAGCTTTTAGAGGCCGTTGATTAAATGTGTTGTTATCTTTTGATTATTATACACATTCGTAAAAATGTTTTGATAAATAAGGTTTAATAAAATGTGATCTGATGGTGAAAAAGTAAATGATAATTATTATCATTTACTTTTTATATTGATTATTATAATCAAAAGTGATTAATAGTGAACATTATTATTATTATTGAAATTTTCTTAATTTGTTTGTTCCCTCTATGTCTACGTAATTATTTCCATAAAAACAGAATCATTTCCGTTCATCGACCAGAATTCAAAATATTACTATCGAAAACTTACCAACAGTAAAATTCATTATAATGAATATATAGTGTTTTATTTCCCTATAAACATTGTTTAAGTGTATTGCATTTGGTGCAATATGTTACAAACAGCAGTTTTGTTGTTTTACCGGTACAATCATAAAATATACATACACATTTTTTTACTCTCGGCTTAACGGTTGGCAGCTCCGGTGATGTAATAATATTATGTGTTATTAATTCTATTAGTACTCGTTATTATTATATATTTTGACGGTCGGTCGACGACAAGACCACCACCGCAGCTGAGGCTTCCGTTCGGAACTATCCCGCAACTGAGTGGGCGGTATGCGCCGGCCGAACTATTCGAGATGTAATCGCTGGTGTTTAATTATACGACACAAATGAGACTAGACGGGCAAAAGAGACGAGATCAGTGTGCGTGTCAACCGAGAGAGAGATGAATACGACGAGAAAAAAAAAACCGTCTTTGGCTTTACATAATTTAATTTATACATGTTTACCATACGTTCCAATGCAGTCGTAGTGGGCACCCGTGAAGTGATTCATCAAACGGCAACAGGACACACACGTACACCGACGAATATTACGAAATACATTTTAACGTTTGCCAGTCATCGTATAGACGCTCATAATTTCTAGACATTTATTTATCCAAACGATAAATATCGAAATCTATTTTGTTTTAGCAAAATTTGAATTTTCAAATGAGATTTTCGCTCATTTCATCGTACAGTCAAATTTATTATTAATGGCCCACTCGAGTACTGGTTTATAAACGGAATATAATACTTTTAAACGTTAGGATTACTTAATCGATTATACTACAATAGTGTGTGTTACAATGAATATTGTAAATAGTCATACGAGTGTCTCGTAATCAATATAAATAAACATTGGCTACGGAAAAAGTATAAGTTTAAACTCGACGAAAATGTTTTAGAAACGATACGTTCTACAAGTTTTCCGAATTTCAAAGAGTAATCATTTCACGTGGGCAATGGAAACTCTCATTTACAGAATATATAATAAGGTCTGTCGGGTGTGTCCAATTAAAGAGGATCCACGCGAGTACACTATAAATTTCATTAAACTGTACAACCATAAGCCGCCTATGACTTATGTGTCTTCCACTGGGATTGTATTGGAATAGAAAAAAATATATCGTTTCCCTAATGATGGTTAATTATCGATTTCCTGTTTACCATTAGATCCATGGGCTCTGCGCTTGTAAAAAAAAAAAACCTATGAAATTAATTGCCGTCCGAGAAACCATATGAGAAATCTAGTCGTTAGCTAGAAAAGCCGTCTACGAATTGACCGTTAACAAATCGGTTGATTATACTTGACAATCGTCAATTCCTATTGGAATTCGTGTGGTTTATTTTCCGTGTGGATTAAGCCGTTTTCGACACATCGGTTATTCACTCTTTGCGAGGCTGTTTTTTTTTTTTTTTTAAGTACCTGTTACAAAAATCTACCCGTCGAATTGTCCAACGCCGACAAATAATAGTAAACGCGCCTCGTAGTGTTGATAATAACAAACAGACTCCGCAAGACATCCGACGAAAGCCTCGTTAACGACAGAGTGCGGGACGAGCATAATAAAACTATTAATTAATTGGGCACCTTTGTTGGGGTCGCGCAATTGCAATATGCGGTGCGAACGACAGCGTTATTACTTCGGTAAAGGCGCAAGCGCACGAGATGAGCGCCGGACTAATTAATCGCGTAGATAAACGGCAAAAGCTCGAGTTAATTAAAAAAAAAATGCACGCAAACGTGCGATTGGACGCAATGCGGTGACTGCACAAGTTCGTCCGACAGAGTAACACTGACGTGTGAGCTTATTGTCGCACAACCTCTGCGGCTTTACATTAACGGTGTGAAAAAGTCACAATTACCGCGACACGGACCGTAATTAACTCGAACCGCGGTTAATTACGCTTAATTGTCGCTCTAATTAGTTTATAAAATAATAACAATTATTATTAGAGAAGAGTCCGTAATTACCATGTCGAGTTAACGCCATAGAACAACACACGCGTACTTTTATCAGCGTTGTCGTAGTCGTTGGATGGAGTGGACGCTTTTTTCCGTCCGGCCAACAACCGAACAATTTTTTTATTTTATCGCGACGATATTTCAGTCAACACGTTGCGGTAGAAAATTGTAATTGAAACGAGTCTTTATCAGCAAATGAAATGCTTTTACAAGCACTTATACGACATTGTTGCCTAACCGGTAAACGAACGAAAAATAATGAAATCGCATTAGACCGCTCATTAGATAGACGTCGGTAATTATGATAATTCGTCGGACATGTCATTCGTCGGCTGACATTTATGACATTAAAACGACAATTAGCTACACACGACTATGTCTTACGCATAAACATACTATTGATAATCACGCGATTCGTCATAATAACCTGTAGTAGAGAACTGTACGGCGACGTTTGTGCCGAGAACTTCAACGCGCATAAAATCAAAATAAAAACAATTATTCGCCGCCAATGGAATCGCACGAATTAATTGCACGGTTGGAAATTAAAAATAATGTACATGACAAAACAATAATTGTCGTAGCGTGTCAATTGTAATTACAATAAAATGTATTAACGCGTAACGCCAGTTATCGAATTGATTGACTTTTTCATTTCCTTTGCCGTACACGTGATTGCACATAATAAAAAACCAAGTATGTAGGTATCGCACCCACGTTTTAAAAAGAAATATCGTTAACGACCACACTGTTCGCGTGTACGCGCCGTTCTAGTAGTGTGAATTAGCCGTAGATAATTTATTATGTATGACATTATCGGGATCTAATTATTTTAATCCGATAATTAAGCGAACCATTGTTTTCCAAAGAACTCCTATGATTCTTTACCGATGCATTACGATGTCCGGCACACGTGTTTTTTTCATAAAAAGTTAATAAACAATATTGGAATGAGTCGACACACGTGCGAGAGGATGATTTGCCGTGGATTATAATCTGTTAACCAATTAAAATAGACGTTTCCGTTAAATTAAAATTCAACAGACGCTATTAACGGAATAGAAAATTACGAGAAATCATTTTACGGTACCCATATAATTGTGTATCCTTAGAAAAACTATTACACGTAAAAACTATCCGGGCAAATTGTTTATCGACACTAAAAAAATCCTATCGGACACCGCGCCGCCAATAACACAACACTACAGGCACTACTCGTTATTATATTGCTCAGACAATCGTATGCACAACAGTCGAGACTTTAGCTATTAGACACAGCTACTCGTTATATATTAATGAAATACCTAACTGTTTAATGGCGATAAGACAGAAAGCCCGCAACCTTTTTATGAGCGATTAGATGCTGCAGTATCTAACAACCTTGCTGGCTAATAAAATGAATTTAACAAGTTGTCAGTCATTCGTTATTAAATGTATGTCATGAATGTTTTAGATGTGATGTTGTGTCCATGTTGGGCAGATTTCTATAAATCTTTCCACGCCGTCCGAAGGCTGCCCATAAACAACATGTATGTAAACTTATATTTTATGGCCGTTTAATAGATAAAATTATTTTCCGACACACAATGTTACGCGGACGTTTTGCAATTGCTGTCATCATATCACTCGTCGGGTAGTCTTTTAATTTTTATTTATTTCAAAATAATCATTTGTTGTTATTATTATCGTTTAACGTTTTCACTTCTTATACAATTTATTATTACACCGAAAGTTATTAAGAATCATTAAACGAATTCTATCAGAGATTTTTATCGAGCAACGCAAACGAATTTGCCTTTGACTAGCCGGTCGACGAATGCCTTTGGTAGGGTTTCAACTTTAGGTGGATAATTAAAACGATTACACGTCACCAATGTTGGTATCGAATGTTTTAACAGCCTAAAAACATGTTGTGAAAACGTCTTTTAGAAACAATTTTGAGCCTAAGGAATTTATTAATCCAAAACGACAATAGAATCGTGTTCATCAAATGTACTCAATACTTCTACACATTTAATCAACCAAGTAATATTCAAATTTTGTTTCATTTGTGTTTCAAATTGTATAGAATAACTAATATAAATATTTAAATGTCAAATATTGTGTTTTATTTATTATTATCGATTGATTTACAAATAAAATCATAGAATTATTGATAGATACATTTAATCCCAGTTTATACATCAAGTTTTTGATGACTTAAATTATTTTTAGAAACATTTAAAATGTATTTTCGGTTTAAATTTTGATTTTTTACATTATAATTCCAGTTCCTCGTTTAAAATAATAAATATTTACATATCGATTTCACTAAACAAACAATGTATTTTTTTTTGAAACAAATAAATAAATATTTATTTTGAAAATCTACGGTTGCATGTCACTAAATTATTTTTACTTAATTCAAAGAAGACAAATAATAAACAATGTAAAAACAACGAATGGCATGTTATGATATACACGAAGGTAAATAAATAAATAAATATATAAAGACGCAGAGTATTGAAAATTAATGAAACAGATCAACTGTTACAAACAATGAAAACAATAGAAACCCGTTTCCTTACTTAATGAACATTCACTTTCTTGTATAACATCAATATAACAATTGTTGCTTGTTTATTTTAAAAGTTGTTAGAACAACTTTTTCCAAGTAAACATACAATAGGTAAACAAAAACTAAAATCTCCCTCTAGTGCGTAAACGTTTGATGGATTTATATTTAGGGTTAATATGGAAAGCAGCTTAATGAAATTAAACTGAACTTATAGGGGAGGGTCTTGGGATTTCAAATTATTTAAACATGTGTACCAATGAGGGAGGTTCGACTACCCTTATGGTGAATTCGCACCCCTGTTAGATACTAAACGATGCGCATTCTTTGCCGGCACTTGATCTCCAACAAAGTGTATAAATAGTTTATTACGAAAAGGAATAGCACAATGAAATTGAATTAAATTCGTTTGTTACGGTACAAGCCAATTATTTCAGTGATTGTGTGCATAAATAAAACATGTTTACACATTCAACCAATATTTTACAATGATTTATTAAGCAAAACCAACTAAATAATTAACTAATATTAGTTGGTAAATATATTTATAATTACAAGTAGTAACTGCCTTATGAAAAACAAAAGCTGTGTCACTGACAAAAACAAGTATAATAAATTGTAGAAAAGTCAGCAGTAAACTTTATCCGTCTCGCAACTACTTAATAAATTCCATCGTGATTAATTAAATTCAACTTAATATTTACAACTAATTCATTTGTAATAAGTATATTTAACGAGAGTTACCTGTTTTTAATCAACAATTCTCTTCGTCCAACGACCGAGTGGTGTAAACTGTATAAAAAAACGGCCGTATCGACGCGATGCCTTTTTATTATTAACTATTACGGCAAACGTTTTTATTTCTATTTAGGTGTGTGATTTTTTTTTGTCTTGACTTTTCGGCGCGGCACTGCAGCGACGGTCCGACAACCGAAACGACCAGTTGCCGGTTAGTATGTGCCGGTGAGTGTGAGTGTGTGAGAGAAGATTTTGTTGGTGACGGGCAAGACGAGACGCGGACGTATGCGCGACGCGCAACTTCTTAAATCTGACTGGAGCCCGGCAAACGATGAACGATGAGTCGACGGCACGGACTCGGTGGTCGGGGAGGAGGAGAAAAATGGCGCTGAGGCACACCCATCGGGACGGTGGCGGAAGGGGCGGACGTCCGACCAATCGGGGACGGTCGGTCGCCGGCAATCGATGTGTGTGGTCTCACGCGCGCACAGAGCACGCGGGGACGAGGCATAGGTAATACCGGTCGTAATAAATTGCATAATAATAATAACAATGTAAACCTCTTTCTCCGCGTGTCCGTCTTGTCGCATCGCCTCCGCCGCCGCCGCCGCCGTTATCTATTAGTTTTCCGACGTGTTCACCCCCGTGTTCGGACCGCTCGACGGATTTACAACAACACACCGAGACACTTATGGCAAGGCACGTTTGACACGAACGCAAACACCGCATCTCGGTCCGGTACCGACCGGTAGGCCTATAAACGCTACCGACTGGCGCGAACGCGTATCGCGACCCGTCAGCAGTTTGTGTTTTTCGCCGGAGAGTACACAGACATAAAAAAAAAATCGTAACAAACAAAACTGGCGTGTTGCACGGGCATGTCCAAACAAGGCGGAAAAGTAATCACATCGATTGTTGGCCATTAAATGTTCGTTTTAATTCCGATTATCCGGTAGGCGGATTCTTGTTTTGTAATTTTCAACATTCGCCTCCGACAGCGTTAATTGTTGCCCGATGAACTCGATTGTGATGCTTGCAACGGAAAATATGTGCACCGCGTGACGTCCAACGAGATACGCGGCTAATTTAAACGTCGTAAGTTACTTTCGCACGCCGTCGTTGCCTCCGAGTATTGCACGTTATTATGAGCACACCGTACACACACACTGGTACCGTGTGTGCGTCGGACATTCCGTGACACTTGGTCGCCGTTGTTATTACTTTTTTCCCCGTGTACGTTTCTGTGTGCGTGTACTTGCTCCTGTATTGCATTATACAGGAGTAAGTACAATAATACAATACGCCGTGTACGTTTCATAGATTCCATGAGAAACTGCAGCTGTTGCCGTCAACGTGGTCTTGTCATTAATTGGCTCTGTTGGTGGACGCAACGCTCGTTTATTTATACACGGCCGTGTGTCAGCCGCGCACCGATTGCGAATCGTTCGCTTACCTATACATTGTTCTGCGTCGAGGTCTTCTAGTGGAACAATACTTAACGTGTAGCCAACACGCGAAATCGATAGAACACAATAATTAATACGTCCAAAATGTATGGCGGCTGTCGTATGGTGTACAGTAACTGTTTCGAGTCTATGTGTAGTGGACGCCGCACTGGAAAGTTCGAGGGACGCGAATTTCAATTACTCTCGTGGACCCCAAAGGAAAAAGACACAATCCACTTGGGCGTTAGTCAATCAATACTCGCGTTTAATGGACAGGCGCGCATCGAGAAGTGTAGTATTGGGAATTTATCTCCCCCTCGATGAGATGGCCACTCTGGAAATAATCCCATCGAATAAAAAATTATAAAAAAAATGTCGCGATTTCATTGCAAAATGTGTTGAAACATTTGTATGCAATCATACAAAACTATGGAGTCCTATTGGTGAATAATCTTGAACGATAACAGTTATAAAATATTTTTCGTTTTTAATTAGGCCTCTATGAATAAAATTGGTAGATAAATAGAACCAAAATATACAACATTATAATGATAATGAACCTAGGCGAGAGGATGAGTAATGTAATTTGACATCTCTATAAGATGTAAGGCGAGAACATGAAAAATATTTTATAACAGACAAATGAAGAAAATACATAAATTACTGACAAAAGTCAAGGAAAAAGTTCACGGGAAAATGATTATCTTAAGAGAATTAGAGTGACTAGTGTCAACAAAATCACTGCGTATATCTTTATTTTTAGGGTATCGATTTATGAATTGTGAATTTGAAAAAAAATCATAATTTTCAGCAAACTTTCATTAATTGAAAAACTGATTTTTTTTTGTTAGTACACATTAAAACACATTTCTCTGTTTATTAGCGGAAATTCTTCATGTTTGATGTATTGTCAAAACCAAATACAATCGCCTACGCCTCCTTCGTGATCATGTCCTCTTAGTACTATTACAGGCTTTCGTACGGCACATGTGGGGGCGTCAATCGGTTTGTCAACTGTATTTTATGTTGAGCTATTACTATAGAATATCGAGGCCCAGATAAAAGCCTATAGCCAAATTACCGACTATAGAAAAACTACATTTTCTTTTAGTCTGTGGCTAAATGGTATTTACCGCGTTACTCGCCTCTTGTAAATTTCCGCCAGTGCTGTTCACTCTCCGATTGAAATATGCCATTTGTTCCTTCGAAATTTTAATTAAGTAAAAAAAATAGTTCTATTCTTAAATTACAAGTCTTTCGGAAACAGAAATAATCAAATGGCTCTGCCCCAAAAATGTATTCTGTTATTCTGTATATTGTTGTAAGTCGCTTACAGTTAAAAAATCTGTTGTTCCACTTCCGTAGCAGTAATGACATCTAGTGGTAGAAAACATGAGTTAGTAATAATATTAATCCGATACTTTTAATGGTCAGGATGTTATAGAATGTGTTAAGCTTTTATGTAATTTTAACGAAACTTGGCTTAAACCACACAGCATTGGAAATCACTCACAAATTCCCATACATCATACTTGTAATACATGTGTTACTTTTATACACAAATAGTGTAATTTAGATAAAGTATGAATCGTTTATAAATATAACATTTGTATTACTAGCTATCAAAATTGTATTTGTTAAAAACTTAGAGAATGCAATGATATTTACCTATTTATCCGTGAACATGATTTATTTATTGTTTGCTTTTCTACAAATGACGCATTTATTGATACATTAAATTTTAATACATTTTATTTATGATATCAAAATGTTATGAATTTCATATGGTTATAAAAACCGACCTAATCAGATAATAAATTTTACAATCTCTGCGCATTTTTAGCCGATAATCACATTTATGAAAAAAACAAACGCTTGTAACAGGCATTTGTTGTTAGACTATACAGAGATGTTGACGATTTTTTGACAAATCTAATAACTTTCGATCCCCTACATGTTTGGATTATATATTTTTTTAATAATTTTTACAGTTATAGACTATGTTGAAAACATATATTTAATTATTTTTCTCTAATAAGAAAAAGAACAATACATTTTTTTGACTAAAAGAAACAAATTTCTTTTAGTTACATATTTTTCTTAGTGTTTCTATGTTAATCACTAATAGAAACAAAGGTGTTCATTTTTATCATTAGACGTTTCTCAGCTGCACTACTTCTCTAGCCAAGATAAAAAAATGTTGATAACTTTCGAAATACTTTTTCAACAATTGTTATCGACCAGTCATTTTCTTAATTAAATCACCATCGTATTAATAAACTAATTAATTATTTATTTTTCTCTTGAAAATAATGAAGTTACTACCCTTAAAAGACATAAAAGAGATGAACATAAAAAATCCTTTATGTTAAATAAATTAATAAAACATGTCAATAAAAGAAATATAATGAAACATTCATAAATCTATTTTCATTTTTTGGTTAATTGTATAATTCATGATAACAGAATTATTCTGTATTAAGATATTGTGTGCCTCACACAATATCTTTAAAAGTATAAAACATATTATAAATTTTTCTTATCAGAAGTAAAGACTATCCTATGCTCTATAATTAAAAAAAAATGGTCTTTTCTCCCCTATAAAATAGTATAAACTTAAGTTTTTTTAAATGGAAACATATAGTGCGGTTTTTAAACGTCCAGTAATAAAAATAAACAGACTCGTTTTACTGCTACCGCCTTAGTATAAAAGTACTTATTCATTAATGTTTTAAAAGTAATTAACAGTTTAAATTATGATTGGAAGTGAGGAGTGGGTGTCAGTATTTTTATTACTAGACATTTTTCGACCAAACTACTCCACCCGCCTAGTTATTAAACTATTAATAACTTTTGAAATATTGATCCAAAAGTTGTTATTGACTACTCTGTTTTTATTTTTATAAGCTAATTATGAATGTTGCTATTTGAAAAATTAAAGTTGACTTCTTAATAACGTATAAAGATGAACATAAAAAATATTTATAACAGATTAATGTGTACGTTTTCATTTAAAAAATTTGGAAAATATCAATTATTGTATACTTTTAAAGGCATTGCGCGAGGTTCAGTTAGCGGACAGCTCTGTATATTAAAAAAGTAATTAAATATAACAAATGAATAATTTTAATTTGAAGAAAACCATTTGAAGCCATTGAACAGCAGCTGCCGAATTTGACATGGTGTTTCATCAATTGCACACCGCGCTATTAATCAACTTTTAAGGAAATGGAATAAATAATGATACATTTATTTATCCACTGGTTAATACCATTGAGTAATGAGGCGACAATTATGCGTAATTTATGACAATAAATGTTTTATTAACGTCGTCAATATAGTTGGTTGTTTAGGAGAGATTTGTAATATTAGAATATGATCAACTTTTAGCCTTATAATTATTATTATTTACTATATTTCGAAAACATTTTATTTAAAAAAAAAAAAAAAAATGTATAACAACTGAAGTATTTAAGACGGTGTAAAAAATCATCGAGTGATCATAGTAATGTCTGTTCGACAGCATACAAATTTTAATAGTTACCTTTATTTCGTTTACAAGAATAACGTCCTTTGACTAAGGTTGATTTGATACCGACAGGTAATACATATCTGTCGGCAGACATGTTGGAAACTATTAATTTTTTCTTCAAGAGGGAGAACAATCGTTATGAGGTATTGTAGAGAACTATAGAAGCGCTCACGACGGATATAAATACACACTCTTTTTGTAATACGACTGCCCGTCGAGTTACATGGCTCTCGGCTGACGCGTTAAGGTAACCCTTCACGTACACACACGTCCCCATGTTGTATTATGACATGATAAACCTCCCCTAGTCGTTACCCCGACGCAGTGTGATGCACTGAATAAAACCCATACCG